TTGGGGGCAAGACAGCCAGTTCCTGGCCCTTGGGTTGAATGGAGCCTGTGTGCCCTAGAAGGGAATGGCCCCATTACCCGTTCTCCACCCTGCTGAGCCAGTCCCCCAGCTCTGCGGCCAGATTATAGTCTGTACACACTAGATGGGAAAAGCCCCATGTCTCATCCCCTGAGCATGGGCACATGTTTTTTCACAGCCATCTGCCCTACCAAAGGCTTGTTCATGCCACTGGAACCTGGCCAGCCTGAACACTGAAATCTGACACCTTCAACACAAGAATTGGAAAGGCAGGAAATGCAGAGCTAAGCGAATCCCACCCCCACCCTCACAACCAGCTCTGCCCAGTGGGATGGGACAGACCCAGCTCACCTCTGCTCAGCGGCTCAGCCCAGGGTCTGCGCTGGGGGTCTGGTGCTGGAGCACTACAAGCAGGTCCTGGGCGAGACTTTCTCTCAGGAACCCCTTACCCACCTGCCCCCAAATTTGCCCCACAAAGTGTCCCCTGCACCTTGCTGGGGCAGAGCTGGTTTCAAGGCAATCTGCCTGGGCATGTGCATTTCCCGACAGTGACAGCCGGCCCTGCGATCACAGCTCACCCCCACAGGAACCTCTCGGCGACAGGCTCAGACGGATGCTCCTGGGGGGGGCTCACAGGTTTCTGCCTCTCCGGCTGAGTGAGTGTGCGACTCGGTGTGTCATGCCCTGGGATGTACACTTATTGAGGCTCGGGGCCATAATTTTCTCTAGTCTAGAGCATCACAAATCACTTTTTTAAAAAAGTAATATTTAAAAGGCAGGTGATTTGGGTGGGGGTCTGTATCTCAGAAAAACCATGACCAAGGGGCCCCAAATTTGCACCACAACCTCTGTCTAAGGCCCCGATATAGTGCAGCGATTTCTGAGCCAATCTGACTATGTGTGTGGACCTCAGAGCACTTTGAAAACATCAGCTCTAAACAGAAACCGCAATGTGCCCTTAACTCCATCCAGAACCACCCCACAATCCCGCTGCCATCTTGTGGCCAAACATCCTCATTCCACCTGACATTATGTCTTTATTCCCCCATCTTTCTATTTCTGCCCCCTACCTCTGGCCCCCGGTGACCTCCTAATGGCCAATCCTCATTGCCCTGCCGTTCTTGTTCCAGACCCCTTTGTCATCCAGGCCTCCATCGGCTGCGAGCTCCACCCCAACGGCACCTCACAGCAGTTCTGTGACGCCGCGGTGAACGGGGAGGATTTCATCAGCTTCAATGTGGACGTTGGCACCTGGGTCGCTCAGCACTGGCGTAAGCTGGCCCTCAACTCACGGGATTTTCTTAACCAGGATAAGAGCACGATTGCCATGGCTCAGTTTCTCCTGAGAACAACGTGTGTCAATGAGCTCAAGAGCTTTGCCCAGTACGGGAGAGAGTCTCTGGCGAGACAAGGTGAGGCTGGACACCGCTCCCTGCTTGCTGAGATGCAGCCACTTCTGGGGTGGGCTTTTTAAACAGGGACCCCTTGTCTTGTGTACAAATGCGGCTCTATCTGGGCTGGAGCGCAGTAGTGATTTCACAGCCGCACCGCACAGCAGTTTAAGACAGGAAGTGAAGGGGGATTCCGTCAGCAATGGTAACTGCGGTATTGGGGTCTGGCCAGGACAGCAGGGCCAACGCCTAACCCCGGGGAATGGAGCTGGGCTTGGCTAGTGAGTCCCTGAGGCTCAGACTGAATCGTCCCCTCTCCCCCGCCCCATCTCTCTCCTCCTGTCTCAGAGCGGCCGGTCGCCGTGGTGTTTGCCCGAGCGCCTCCCCCAGCCGGGGCCCCCGCGCCGGTACTGCTGGTTTGCCGGGTCACCGGTTTCTACCCCCGGCCCATCTGCGTGGCCTGGCTGCAGGACGGGGAGGAGGTGGGGCCGGGCGAGCGGCTGAACTCCAGCGAGATCCTGCCCAACGCAGACCTGACCTACCAGCTGCGCAGCTCCCTGGCCGTGGGGCCGGGCGCCGGGCACAGCTACGCCTGCCGGGTGCAGCACAGCAGCCTCGGGGGCCGGAGCCTGCTGATCCCCTGGGGTAGGTGCACATCCCCGGGCGGGAGGGTCGTGGTCTCTGGGGGCTTTTCCTGCACATCTCAAGCAGGGCAGGGTCCAGGCAGTGGGACTGGGGAGAGGAAGGCAGAGTGGGTGTGTGGGGTGTGTGGGGATGGATCGGGGGAGCAGGGTGGAGGAGCTGAGGGGAATGGGACAGGACTGCACAGGAGGAGCAGGGTGGGGGCTGAGGGGAGAGGTAATGGGATGGGGTGAAGAGAGCTGTATGGAGTGTGGCAGAGGGGAGACAATGGGGCAGGGCTGGGGGGATTGGGGAGAGAGGCAGGAGTCCAGAGGCAATCGGACAGAGGGGACAAGGACTGGTGTGCAGGAAGTCTGAGGGGGTGGGAATGTGGGGGGAGCAGTGAGGGTGGGATGATGGAGGACAATGAGGGAAAAGGGTTAGGGTAGGAGCATCTGCGAACAGTGGGGGTGGGACAATGAGGAAGGCAGAGGGAACAGGGCTGGGTGGGGGGCTGAGGGCAGTGGGTCAGGTTGGGGGAGCAGGGAGGACTGCAGAAGAGGCTTGGGGAAGAGGGCTGGGTGGGGGCTGAGGGCAGTGGGTCGGGTGGGGCAGCAGGGGGGACTGAGGGGGAGGCTGAGGAACAGCGGTGGGGTGTGGCAGGGCAGATGGCAGTGGGCCAGGGTAAGGAGATGGGGGGACTGCAGGGGAGACCTTGGGAACATGGTCCAAACTCCTGCGCCCGTTCCCAGCGCATCACCCCTGTGTGTTACAGGGCACAGCAGGCCCTGGGGCCCCGGCCTGGCTGTGGGCATCACCCTGGGGGCTCTGGCTGTAACCGCCGTGGCCGTGGTGCTGTGGTGGAGAATGCGCAGGTGAGTCCTCTCCCTCTCTGGGGTGGGGGTGGGGCCGTTGCACCCCCTAACCCATCCCCTCTGCTTCTCCTTCCAGGGGCTACCAGGACGTCCGACCAGAGGAGCCCAGAGCCTGAGGATGCAGCACCGGCTTAGACATGGTGATCGGCCCCTTTCCTGGGGACATGGACCTGGGGGCTGAATCCGCACCTGGCTCCAGAGCTGAGGGCCCTGAGGCCCCGTCTGGATTGGGGCACTGGGTGGGATTCTCACCCCGCACCCCCAGTGGTGTTCGTGCCAAGGACGCTAACACAGAAGGGCAGCAACGACCAAGGATAGTATAGACCCGTCCTTTGATTTTGGCAATAAGCTTGTCCGAATTAAGATCATCACTGAAATGTGTCATAAAAAATGTGTAGCCTAAATAAAAAGCTATGAAATTACAATATAAAATAAGAAATATACATAATTTAGTAGGAGGGATAGCTCAGAGCATTGGCCTGATAAACCGAGTTGTGAGCTCAATCCTTGAGGGGGCCACTTAGGGATCTGGGGCAAAAAAAATAGTTGGTGTTGGTCCTGCTTTGAGCAAGGGGTTGGACAAGGTGACCTCCTGAGGTCCCTTCCAGCTCTGATATTCTATGATCTATGTATGCAACAAATGAAGTAGCAGAAGAAGAGAGTGTACACCTCAGCATTTGCAAGAAGGTGGATTATTTACAGAAGGGTTAATACATTTCCAATTATAAAACTGGGAGGGGGGATTAGGGGAAATCACGTGTTACTGGAAGTTCAAAATAGTATTAAATGTTATAGGAATGTACACCCATTTTAGGTATATTGATTCTTTGGATGTAACAGCTAAAGTATGAAGTTAGTGGATGATAAAAGCCCAGAGACAAAAAAGCAAATTAAAAGAACCCAAAATTTATTTATTTATTTATTTAATTTCATGACGTTTGGGTGTGTAACTCAAGGTTTTTTGAATTCTTGTGGTTGTCAGTGTATTTTGGGGTTGTAGATCTATATTAACTAAATATTATAGTAGAAATTGACCATTGAGAAGGTTTTCCTACAAGATAGTATAATGCCCTTAGGACCAGATTTTCAAAGGGTCTCTAGTGGGATTTTCAAAAGCAACTAGGTGCTTTCAGCCTTTAAAAATCTGGCCTGTGGTGAATATTTGGGAACCATGTTCACCACAGTAGTGGTGACACTTTCTTCAAGCACTGGGATGTCGGATAGCGAGACAAAATAATAGTTGACAAATGCAAGCCGTATTAGCTGATCAAAGGCAACTGAAGAAGTTTTGACAGCAACCCAGGAAACCAGTCAGCCGTGGTGTGATATGAACCCAAAGAATATACACGTGTATGAAAACAATGGGGAAAAAACCCCAAAATTTTAAAATTAAAATTATCCCAACCGAAACAAGAAGTGCTCTCCTAGAAACACTGTGAGATGGGGGTGCTGAAGTGGCTCGCAACTATTAATATTTCCAATGACGGTTGGTTATTAAAATATAAATTCAATAGCACCGTGGGCTCCATCTGCATTATATTAATGAAGGTAAACGATGAAGTGCAAAGAGTAATAAAAATAACATTGAAAAAACATATAATGTAAAGCCTGGACTCTACAGTTACAGTGGATTACAAGACAAAGGCAATCCAGTTATTTCTGTAACTGCTGCAGCCCATCTGGGGGCCCTGTTACCCCCTCTGCCCCTCCAGTCATGGGGCTAGCGCCCCCCCACCCCCCCGTCTAGCAGCCTTTACCCCATTCTCAACCCTGGCTTCTGCACCCTGTCCTTGCTTGCTCCTTGGCTCCTTTCCCTCCCCTGCTGCTTCCTGTTTGCCTCCCCGTGCAGTCAGATTGGCCCCAGCACAGCCTCTGCCCCCCCCTGCTCCTATTTGCCCACCTCCTACTCCGCACCCTTTAACCCCCCTGAATGCAACCGGAGCACAATTCCCATCCCAGTGGCTTCGATGCATGCTCCCTGCCCGTCGCGCGCATGCTCACACACAGCAAAGTAGCAAATGGGCAGGACAGAGTAACACTGCACTGGGGAGCGCCAGGTGGAGTGTATTAAATCGCTCCCTGTAGGTATAGGTGCCGACTTCTAATGGCGCCGGTGGGTGCTCGACCCCCACCCCTGCCCCCGCCTTGCCCCCATTCCAACCCCTTCCCCAAAGTCCCCGCCCCAACTCCGCCCCCTCCTGCCCCCATTCCACCCCCTTTCCCCAAAATCCCTGCCCCAGCCCCACCTCTTCCCCCCTCCCTCCCGGAGATTGCTACAGCTGTTTGGCGGCGGGAAGCACTGGGAGGGAGGCGGAGGAGGGGGACGCGGCGCACTGGGGAGGAGGCAGAGGTGGAGGTGAGGGCGGGGGAACTTGGCTGCCAGTGGGTGCAGAGCACCCACTAATTTTGCCCGGTGGGTGCTCCAGCCCCAGAGCACCCACAGAGTCGGTGCCTATGCCTATAGGAATGTGCTACTTAGGGTGCACTGAGCATGCTCAGTAACGTGCTGAAGCCACGGCCCTTCCCCCTGCCCTTATACCCGCAGGATTCTGCTGACTGCTTTTGACAGGGGTTAAAAAGGGGCAGGGGGTGAATCTAGGGTTACCATATTTTGAGCCTCCAAAAGGAGGACACTCCATGGGGCCCCGGCCCCGCCCCAACTCCGCCCCTTCCCCCA